AAATTTCCTAATCGTGTTTTACTAATTGGTACTTACTGAAACTCTTTAAAGAGTAGACATCTTTAGAAGGGAAGAAGTTCTTTTTCTCTCAAAAACATTAAAGATGGATTCCATTCAACTGGGAGCTGAATGGAGATATATGTAAAATAATTTTGGACAAATGATTACTATAATGAGAACAAAAGCTTATATAAATTAGTAAAAATTAAATAATTCAATAGCAAAATAAGCAGAAGACATGACTAGGCAATTCAAAAAGTAGTACACTAAACATATATAAAACCATGTTACCTGAATAGTTACTAAAATGCATGTTAATATAATGAGATGCCAGTTTTTCACATACCAAAATGGGAAATATTTCTTAAAATGACACGTTCTATTATACTATTTATAAATGGTAAGTGTAGGGAAACAAGAGCTTTCTAATATCATTACTGGAAGTATAATTTGATGTCATATTTGTATATGGCAGTTTTTGCACTGAGCATCAGTGGCCTCTGAAATGTGCTGTATTTCTTAATATAGCAATTTTAACAAATAAATTATTTTTTAACATAATGAAGCAGTGTCATTACTCTGGTGTAAATACCCGAGGTTTGTCATCTCATGCCAAAGAAATAGAGTACATGGACACATAAAAAGTTGGTTTAGGAGCAGAGATTTAATCGGTAAAAGACAGTGAAAGAAAAATAGCTCTCTCTCCTGAGAAAGAGTGGGTCCCCCGAGTTGGACTTCCAGCCCGCAGTGAAGCACACTGAGTTTTACAGATTGGCTTTCAGGAGGTGGTGTCTGATTTACATAGGGCCCAAAGATTGGCTGGACCAGGTGTGAACATTTACACAGCACAGGAGGAAGCTGGCTGCCCCACGCTTATCTTCTGTTTTGGAAATGGAGCATTTGCTAGCACCCTGTTGCCTGCTTCTAAAACCTATATATATATTTAAAAAATTGCCAGGCGCAGTGGCTCACACCTGTAATCTTAGCACTTTGGGAGGCCGAGGTGGGTGGATCACCTGAGGTCAGGAGTTCAAGACCAGGCTGGCCATCATGGAGAAATCCCAACTTTAAAAAAAAAAATTAAGATAAAAATTAAAAATTTTTGGGAAAGAAGATGAAGATAGAAACACAATCCAATAAAACCTGTGAGATACAGCAAATATAGTACTAAGAAGGCAGTTTATAGCCTAAATGCCTCCATCAACAAAGTAGAAAGCTTACATATTAAAGACCTGGCATCACACTTCAAGGAACTGGAAAATTAATAGCAAACCAAGTTCCAAGTTAGAAGAAGAAAAAAATAACAAAAATCAGAACAGCCGGGTGCGGTGGCTCACGCCTGTAATCCCAGCACTTTGGGAGGCTGAGGCGGGTGGATCACGAGGTCAAGAGATCGAGACCATCCTGGTCAACACGGTGAAACCCCGTCTCTACTAAAACTACAAAAAATGAGCTGGGCATGGTGGCGCGTGCCTGTAATCCCAGCTACTCAGGAGGCTGAGGCAGAATTGCCTGAACCCGGGAGGCGGAGGTTGCGGTGAGCCGAGATCGCGCCATTGCACTCCAGCCTGGGTAACAAGAGCGAAACTCCGTCTCAAAAAAAAAAAAATCAGAACAGGACTAAATGAAATAAAGACCAAACATCATAAAAATAATCAACAGAATCAAGAGTTGGTTTTTCAAAAAGACAAAATTGATAAATTGCTACCTAGAGGAACCACAAACAGAAGAGAGATCTAAATAAACAGAATCAGAAATGAAAGAATAGACATTACAATGGATACAGCAGTAACACAAAAGATCATAAGAAAGGATTATAAACAACTAGACACTCCCAAACCTGAAAACTTAGAAAGAATGAACAAATTCACAGAAACATACAACCTCCAAAGATAGAGACAGGAAGAAACAGAGTACCTGAACAAACTAATGAGTACCATCATTGAGTTTATCATAAAAAATGTCATGACAGCCGGGCCCGGTGGCTCACGCCTGTAATCCCAGCACTTTGGGAGGCCGAGGCGGGTGGATCACGAGGTCAAGAGATCGAGACCATCCTGGTCAAAATGGTGAAACCCCGTCTCTACTAAAAAATACAAAAATTCAGCTGGGCATGGTGGCGTGTGCCTGTAATCCTAGCTACTCAGGAGGCTGAGGCAGGAGAATTGCCTGAACCCAGGAGGCGGAGGTTGCGGTAAGCCGAGATCAGGCCATTGCACTCCAGCCTGGGTAACAAGAGTGAAACTCCGTCTCAAAAAAAAAAAAAAAAAAAAAAAAGAAAAAATGTCATGACAAAGAAAAGCTCATGAGTAGATAAATGCAAAGCCAAATTCTACCAAATGTACCAAGAATAATCATCCTCCTGAAACTCTTCTCAAAAATTGAGGATAATGAAATTCTAAGTCACTCTCAGGTCAGTATCATCCTGATACCAAAGCTAGCCAAAGACATGACAAAGAAAACTATTATAAATTATTATATAGATATATGAGACTCAAACTAAAAAGTTTTGGCACAGCAAAATCATCATCATCATCATCATCATCATCATCAACAGGGCAGGAAACCTACAGAATAAAAGAACATATTTGCAAACTATGTGCCAACATGGAAGTGATGTTCAGAATTTACAAATAACTCTAAAATATCATCATGATAATTATGAATCTCATTGAAAAGTGGGCAAATAACATTACTAAGCATTTTTCAATAAAGACATACAAATAGCCAACATGCATATGAAAAAAATGCTCAATCTCAACTAAAATACAACTACCATTTGATTCAGAGATCTCATTATTGGGTATCTACCCAAGGAAAAAATAGTTTACTATATGAAAATGATACCTATACTGGCATGTTTATTGTATGCTCACAGCAGCAAACCATATATACAAGAAAAGCTTAAGATTTAAAATATATAGGAAATTCAAAGCAAAGGCAAGTAAAAGAATAACAATTATAATCCATCTGAAAAACAGTCAACAGGCTGAAAAAATATTTTGCCAACAAATATATACAAGTGACCAACAGGTATATAAAAAAGTGCTTGGCCGGGCGCGGTGGCTCACGCCTATAATTCCAGCACTTTGGGACGCCGAGGCGGGTATCACGAGGTCAAGAGATCGAGACCATCCTGGTCAACATGATGAAACCCCAACTCTACTAAAAATACAAAAAATTAGCTGGGCATGGTGGTGCGTGCCTGTAATCCCAGCTACTCAGGAGGCTGAGGCAGGAGAATTGCCTGAACCCAGGAGGCGGAGGTTGCGGTGAGCCGAGATCGCGCCATTGCACTCCAGCCTGGGTAACAAGAGCGAAACTCCGTCTCAAAAAAAAAAAAAAAAAAAAGGTGCTCAATATCACCTACCAACAGGCAATTGCAAATGAAAACAATCATGAGCTATCACTTCAAATGTTAGGACTGCTAATATAAACAAAAAAGAGAGAGAAATAAGTAACATGTGTCATTGATATTCCTGAGATTTCTGAAACAAATCTTAATATCATCACTTCTCTCACACATTTCAGACGTGATGGGTAAAGACCGCTTAAGAAATGATCTGGCTGTGCGTGGTGGCTCATGCCTGTAATCCAAGCACTTTGGAGGCCGTGGCGGGCGGATCACCTGAGGCTGGGAGTTCAAGAAATGATCTAACATGTAGTTTCTGAAAAATACTAAGAGATATTCTTATATATCCCTGAATCAATGGAAGAGCAGGCATATCATGCAGTACCTTATAAGCCATAGAGGACATTAGCTCTCATGGTACCCTCAAAGGAGTATCACTGAATAGGAAGTAGAGTCCTTAGAGAATTCAAAGGTAGAGTGACAAAAAAATGCTCCTATTTGAGAGTAAAGAAAAAAAATGGCTTTTTTAGAAAACCTTTTCACTGAAGGAGAACATCCCATACCACCTTTTAAGGTCTGGAATTTTTTTTTTTTTTTTTTAAAGATGGGGTTTCACCATGATGGCCAGGCTGGTCTTGAACTCCTGACCTCAGGTGATCCACCCACCTTGGCCTCCCCAAGTGCTAGGATTACAGGCATTAGCCACTGTGCCCGGCCAGCTCTGGAATTCTTTTTGACCTTTGTACCTCTCATCTTGTGTTATCTGCTTCATTCATGCTTACCTACCTGAGTGTTTGATTACTGTCTCATGTCTCTTCACAGTCCAGGGCTCTTTTATTTGCTCAAAGCAGATCAGATCAGGGTGAGAGAGAGCAAGGCCTGTTTTGTTAGAGAAAAGTAACATGACTTGCTGGGATTCTCCGGTTATCAACCTAGTACTATGTTCAGTAGAGAGGACAGAGAATTAGGAAAGAATCAAGAAAGTTAATTTCAAAATACTGTTTTCTGGCAGAACTTTTAGAATATTTAGAACATATTTCACATTTCTGGGTCCTTACCTCTATTATTCAATACTATTGAATTTAAAATTGGTGCCAGATATTGGATTTTAATATTTGGGCAACAATATTTAATGCCGTTGAATTTCTAGGATTATTATTAATCTAGAGTGAAGGATACAGATTAGCTCAAGAAAGGGAAGGTTCCCGTTTAGATAAAACATCTTGAAGATTTTTTTTCTCTTTTTGTTTTTTTTATTGAGATGGAGTCTTGCTCATTGCAACCTCCGCCTCCTGGGTTCAAGCGATTCTTCCGCCTCAGCCTCCCGAATAGCTGGGACCACAGGCACATGCCACCACGCCCGGCTAATTTTTTTGTATTTTTAGTAGAGACGGGGTTTCACCGTGTTGGCCAGGATGGTCTCGATCTCTTGACCTCGTGATCCGCCCGCCTCGGCCTCCCAAAGTGCTGGGATTACAGGCGTGAGCTAAAGATTTTCTTTTCTGTTCAAATAACCCTTCAAGTTTTCCTTAAAAATATTGATCTAAAAATAATTTATGCATAGCAAAAACTCCCAAAATCATTCAACAAAGGGAGAAAATAGAAGCCTTAGGGTATATTAGGAAATCTGGGGAAAATTTATTCTCACCAAGAGCAGGTTTCTGTAGTTCTCTAACATTGCGCCTCTATACAAATTTCACTGAGCAGGATTCAGACATTCCCACTTCTCCTGAGAGAATTCTATGGCCACAGTCATGAATGATAAGACTGCCTAAAAAAACCCAAACACCCCAAGTGGCCATGGGCAGAACTGTTAATTTTACTCTAGGTGTTTGAGAGTTAAAAGAGCTGGCTCTGTTTTACATGGGTGACTGGAATTATCCAATAAAATACCGTTTAACAGAGAAAGATTATCTAACATATTCCCTCATTATGAGGAAAGAGGATGAAGTAAGAATCACAAAGCCAGAGTAGGTACTATAGTTTTCTGAAAGATACAGCATAAAATTAGGCATAAACACAAGTGTATAGTTTTGAGTGCTATATTTACATTACACAGAGTAAGTTGAGTACAGTTCTCATATGGAGAAGTCACAGTAAGTCAGAAGGTACCGCTCACATTTTAACGTTCCATCAATCAACTGGAGATTTTGTTAAAATATGTATTCCAATTCAAGAGATCTTGGATGAGACGTGAGTTACTCCCCTGCTAGCAAACCCACGAACGATGTCAATGATTCTAGCTTACGAAAAATACTTTGTAAAACATCTAGTAAGTGATAGAACCTGGGTTTTATCCCAGTGTATGTGACCGGTAAACAAAGATGACAGCCTTCATTTTCCAAAGCAAGGTATAAACAAAGAGAAACTATTAAGAAAAGACATGTAAGACAAACGGATGTGCTGTGGTTAAGAACGGGTTGAGGTAAACGTCTGCTTCAGCATGACTCAGTGAGCTTGGAGTGCAGGTGCACAATTCTGCTCATCATGTAACCTGGTTGTGGAAGCTCATACTTGGCTCTGAGTCGTAATTGTGTGTAAGGAATACACAGACAGGTGGACATGCAAAACTGCCCGCAATTCCTCGAGTGTTTTCCCAGCAACCCACCATTTGGCCACACACTCCCATCAGATCTCAGCTTGGGTTGGTAGCTGACACTTAGTGTGACAAAGGAGCTTACAGATTAAATGTGATTAAAAAAAAAAAGTAACTTTAAGGCCGGGTGTGGTGGCTCATACCTGTAATCCAAGCACTTTGGAGGCCAAGGCGGGTGGATCACCTGAGGTCGGGAGTTCAAGACCAGCCTGACCAACATGGTGAAAACCTGTCTTAAAAAAAAGTAACTTTATAGTGAAGAAATCCTTCAGAAAACATGTTAACAAAGTAAATAAAATTAATAGAACAGGTTGGTATCAGGTGCTGATACATATAGAAGTATGCAGCATGACTTCTGTGAGATTACTGGCCAAAAAATGTAAATCGTAATATGAATCTAATCATAAACAATGTGTTTTATGTAAATTTCAAGCAACATATGTTGCCCATGTTTTGTAATTTCTAATAGTGTATTTAAATACGCTCTCAGAATTCTAGAAGGCATATTTCTTTGAATTCCTTTACATATCATTCTAAATTATTCCCAGCTATTAATTCTACCCTTTTTAAGTGCACGTTAAAAAATTACATTCTTCACAGAGCTGATGGGGCATTCAGATGGAACCTAAACGATGTACTTTTCTCCTCACTGATACTGAGGACCCAGCACCATCTCCAATAAGAATGTTTTATATCCCCACCTGCCCAGGCTGATCTGTAAACAAAGGGAATACTTTCAATATTTCAGGGTATGAATTCAAGGTGAGTATTGTGATACAGAAGAAGTCTGCATGGAGATAATAAAGCTAAGGCTCTGATATATAGGGGAGAATTATCTTAAAGAGGTCTTAGCTGGGCATGGTGGCTCATGCCAGTAATCTCAGCACTTTGGGAGGCTGAGGCAGGCAAATCACTTAAGGTCGGGAGTTCAAGACCAGCCTGACCAACATGGAGGAAACCCCATTTCTGCTAAAAATACAAAATTAGCCAGGTGTGGTGGTGCATGCCTGTAATCCCAGCTACTCAGGAGGCTGAGGCAGAAGAATCGTTTGAAACCGGGAGGCAAAAGTTGTCGTGAGCTGAGATCATGCCATTGCACTCCAGCCTGGGCAACAAGAGTGAAACTCTGTCTCAAAATTAAAAAAAAAAAAAAAAAAAGTCCTTTCACTGTCATGAGAATAAAAGGAAAAAAGTAGTTGAAATCATCTTAGGCAAAAGCATCAGAAGTTGAACTATAAATGATTGCAATTTTAAACACGTTCCATGTTAGAAGAAAATATGGACACAGTTTTGACCTGGGACACACTTATCTGAGAATCAACCATTTTTTCTCTCTTCTCTGATTATTTCTCAGGAGAGATTATCTGAACAAATCACCACCTTCATCTTGAGAATGCGTCTTTAAAGGCAGCAGGACAGACACTCTGAAGAAATCAAACTACTCCCGCAGGACCTGGAAGGCACCCCAAATACTATGAGTGCCCCAACTGCAAAAGTGGGAAAGGGAGAACACGCACCCCTACTGCAGAAGCTGAAAGTCTGTTTGTGGGAGAAGTTCCTGACTACCTGGAGCTGAGTCAAGTTAGAGAGCCAGGCTGAGTGAAATAGAAGAGTGGAAGAGACAGCAGGGAGGCCCTGAGAGCTCGCTGAATCCGCAAATGGCCCATTCCTGCCTGGCACCTGAGGGATCCATTAAGAGGGAGGACAGAGAAGAAGGGGGTAAAACTCCAAAGGGAGAAGCCCTTCCCTTAGCTGAACTTCATAACAATTTGAACGAGGCGAGAAGCTTCCTGGCCAGAACTCTGGGGAAGGCATAAATCTGGCTTGCAGACTTTACAGGCCGGGAAGACAAAGAGCCCTTTTCCTTCCCAACTGAGAAGCAGAAAGCCTTGGGCAATTTTCTTTTCTTTTTTTTTTTTTTGAGATGGAGTTTCGCTCTTGTTACCCAGGCTGGAGTGCAATGGCACGATCTCGGCTCACCGCAACCTCCGCCTCCGCCTCCTGGGTTCAGGCAATTCTCCTGCCTCAGCCTCCTGAGTAGCTGGGATTACAGGCACGCGCCACCATGCCCAGCTAATTTTTTTGTAGTTTTAGTAGAGACGGGGTTTCACCGTGTTGATCAGGATGGTCTCGATCTCTTGACCTCGTGATCCACCCGCCTTGTCCTCCCAAAGTGCTGGGATTATAGGCGTGAGCCAGCGCGGCCTTGGGCAATTTTCAAGCCCAACTTGCCCTCCACCTGGAAACAGTCTAGAGGTTGCTGTGGGGGCATAGTGGGAGTGAGACCAACCCTTTGGTTTGCATGGAAGCTGAGTGAGGTCTGTGACTGCCAGCTTTCCCCCACTTCCCTGATACCTGAATGACTCAGCAGAGACAGCCATAATCCTCCTAGGTACACAACTCCTAGGAATCTCACCCCCATTCCCCACAGCAGCAGCAGCAAGACCCACCCGAGGAGAATCTAAACTCAGACACACCTAGAAGCCCCCACCAACCAATGGTCCTTCCCTAGCCACCCGGGTAGTGGAAGACAAAGGACATATAATCTTGGGAGTCCTAAGGCCCCACCCACTGCTGGTTCCTCTCCACACTACTACAGCTGATGCTTTCTGGAAAGCACTATCTCCTGGCAGGAGGTCAATCAGCACAAAAATAAACCATTACACCAACAAAGCTAAGGACCCCCATGGAGTCCATTGCACCCTTAGCCACCTTCACCGTAACAGGCACTGTTATCCATGGCTGAGAGACCCATAAATGGTTCACATCACAGGACTCTGTGCAGACATCCCCGAGTAACAGCCTAGAGCTGGGAAGACCCTGGGGACTAGACCCAGAAGAGAGACAACCAACAACCAATCACTGCAGTTTGGCTCACAGGAAGCCACATCCACAGGAAAAGGGGGAGAGTACTACATCAAGGGAACACCCCGTGGGACAAAAAATCTGAACAGCTTTAGGTCCTAGACCTTCCCTCTGACAGAGCATACTCAAATGAGAAACAACCAGAAAAACAAAGCTGACAGTATGAGAAAACAAGTTTTGTCAACATCCCCCTAGAAAACACACTAGTTCACCTGCAATGGATCCAGACAAAAAAGAAATCCCTAATTTATCTGAAAAAAGAATTCAGGAGGTTAATTACTAAGCTAATCAAGGAGGGACCAGAGAAAGGCAAAGCCTAAGGTAAGAAAATCTAAAAAATCATACAATAAGTGAAGAGAAAAATATTCAACAAAATAGATAGCTTTAAGAAAAAACAATAAAAAATTCAGGAAATTTTGGACACACTTTTACAAATGCAAGATGCTCTGAAAGAATCTCAGCAATACAAGCTAACAAGTTGAAGAAAGAAATTCAGAGCTCAAAGACAGGGTATTTCCATTAACCAAATCCAACGAAGATAACAAAGAAAGAATAAGAAAATATGAACAATGCTTATACCCATTACTGGAGATAGTAAAATAAAAAATAAAATAAAAAAAAGAAAATATGAACAAAGCTTCCAAAAAGTCTGGAATTATATTAAATGACCAAACCTAAGAATAATTGGTATTACCGAGAAGAAGACAATTCCAAAAGGTTGAAAAACATATTTCAGGGAATAATCAAGGAAAACTTCTCTGGCCTTGTTAGTGACCTAGACATGCAAATACAAGAAGCGCAAAGAACACCTGGGAAATTCATTGCAAAAATATCTTCACCTAAGCACATTGTCATCAGGTTATACAAAGTTAAGACAAAGAAGCCGGGCGCGGTGGCTCA